TGTATAACATTACACCATATCGAAATTCCAAACAAGCCCTAATAATTGCTATAAATGAATATTCGATTACCCAAAGTATGTTAACCAAAAAAATCACTACCACAATATCCAAATCTCCCACGATACACACTCATGCACAATCTTTGGGAGATTGGCAAAACCAAAAAAACACATTCAGTTAATTTCATTCACAATCGCATTTTCGAAATATTCTCATGAATTGTTGGGATTTAGTTGAAATTCTTCGTTACAATTCTACATAATTTTATACTTTTTATGGTTTTGTGTATTTTCTGTATTTCATATACAAACTCTTAACCGTCTACTCATTGTTTAGCAATAAAGTATATATTACATTCTTGTTTTTCTCAGAGTACATGTATTAAAAGAAATTGGTATTATATGCAGTACCAAAATGTTTTTGGGTTTTTGTTTTTCAAATATTCAGTTAATACGTTTAACTATGCTGGTTTCTAAATTACATTTCTTGCTTACTGTTTTTGTGAATTTAAGTTTAAATATTTTACGATTTGTCAAGAACGTGCTTTTTACTTTAATACTTAGATGAGTTTGACTTTTGTTGCTGCAGTACTACTATATAAAGATATTGTTCGATGTTTCTTTTTAAAGAAGGAAAAGCAACTGGATGGGGTTGTTGTTGATGTTAACATATAAAAAGTATAAAAGAAATAAGTTTATTAAAAAAAAGAAACAAAAAATGTTATGGCAAATTCGCAACCAATAAAATGTTATTATTATTAAAGAAATAAATTTGAAAAATATAAACAAAAAAATTTTGAATTTCAAACTAACGGTCATTTTACATTATGGTTACAAAAATGTTATGCATCATTTACAAAAATAATTTAAATTTCTTATTACCTTTTCATTAAATTGCTTTTATTTCAATTGTTTTTTATTTTATTATTTATTGCTTCACAGTATGCTTTCAAATTAATTTTACTTTTATTCGTAAATGTATATATAACTGTACGTATGAGTGTTATTTTTGAATTGCATATAAATCATACGCCCCCTTAATTAGACGTAAGTATTTCATTTTAGCTTTAAAAAAAATTGTAATAAAGTTGAATTTTTATATGAATTATATGTCTGCCAAAGTCTATTAAAGTGAATAATAATCATAAAGTTTGAAATTTGTTACCAAATTATTACAAAAGAATATAAATTTTAATGCATAAAGGTAACAATATTATTTACACATATTGCAAACAGAGATACAAAGACAACTTTAAAATTTACCTCAACCATTAAGCCCACAAAACAGCTAAAAAAGAGGATCAGTTTTTTAACGGTTCTTATGCCTCATGCCTTTCTAAATTAATTAACCGACATTTTCAATATAATTTAAAGTTTATGTTTGAAATTAAACCCCCTCTTTTAAATTGTTTTACACACCTAAATTTTGCCATTATCATTGTAATTATTTCCAAAAACTTTAATAAATTAAACGACATTTTTATTGTGGTTGGGTATGTGTGTGTGTACTGAGTTTAAAATATACAACCTAGTTTTATTTTAATTTTATTTAAAAGCCATAAATTTAAATAAACTATAAACAAATATTATCATTCATTGAAAACATCAATTGTATAAACAAATATACACATAATTAAAAAACAAACACACACACATTCAGAAACATATTAAGATGGCACAACAAAAACTTATACAATATTTTGTTTTTATAAATTAATATAAGAAAGTAAAAGTTTCAAGAAAACAAGAATCAAATAGAACACGAATTAGAAATATGTTTTTATTTGATATATATATTAAAAAAACCTATTCATATAATTTATAAAAATAATATAGCAAAGTTGAATATAAAACAGGGGAATTTAACAGCAGACATGATGGTACACATGCACAACAGCTATATGCACACTTCCTGAAATTAATTCACATGCAGTTCACAATTTGCAGGGTATATAATTGTGTTAGTTTTGATTGAGCTATGTCCGTCAGTGTGGCAGTAATTAATTTTCTTAAGGCCCGCGATATCTTCGGAACACTAACTAACTAACTAACTAACTACTAACTAACTAACTAACTAACTAACTAACTAACTAACTAACTCTACTAACTAACTAACTAACTAACTAACTAACTAACTACTAACTAACTAACTAACTACTAACTAACTAACTAACTAACAACTAACTAACTAACTAACTAACTAACTACTAACTAACTACTAACTAACTAACTAACTAACCTAACTAACAACTAACTAACTAACGTAACTAACTAACTAACTAACTAACTAACTAAAACTAACTAACTAACTAACTAACTAACTACTACTAAACTAACTAACTAACTAACTAACTAACTAACTAACTAACTAACTAACTACTAACTAACTAACTACTAAACTAACTAACTAATAACTAACTAAACTAACTAACTAACTACTAACTAAACTAACTAACTAACTACTAACTAACTAACTACACTAACTAACTAACTAACTAACTACTAACTAACTAACTAACTAACTAACTACTAACTACTAACTAACTACTAACTAAAACTAACTAACTAACTAACTAACTAACTACTACACTAACTAACTACTAACTAACTAACTACTAACTAACTAACTAACTAACTAACTAACTAACTAACTACTAAACTAACTAACTAACTAACTAACTAACTAACTAACTAACTAACTAACTAACTAACTAACTAACTAACTAACTAACTACTACTAACTAACTAACTAACTAACTAACTAACTAACTAACTAACTAACTAACTAACTAACTAACTAACTAACTAACTAACTAACTAACTAACTAACTAACTAACTAACTAACTACTAACTAACTAACTAACTAACTAACTAACTACTAACTAACTAACTAACTAACTACTACTAACTAACTAACTAACTAACTAACTAACTAACTAACTAACTAACTAACTAACTAACTAACTACTAACTAACTAACTAACTAACTAACTAACTACTAACTAACTAACTAACTAACTAACTAACTAACTAACTACTAACTAACTAACTAACTAACTAACTAACTAACTACTAACTAACTACTAACTAACTAACTAACTAACTAACTAACTAACTAACTAACTAACTAACTAACTACTAACTAACTAACTAACTAACTAACTAACTAACTAACTAACTACTAACTAACTAACTACTAACTAACTAACTACTACTAACTAACTAACTAACTAACTAACTACTAACTACTAACTAACTCTACTAACTAACTAACTAACTAACTAACTAACTAACTAACTAACTAACTACACTAACTAACTAACTAACTAACTACTAACTAACTAACTAAAACTAACTAACTAACTAACTAACTAACTAACTAACTAACTAACTAACTAACTAACTACTAACTAACTAACTAACTAACTACTAACTAACTAAACTAACTACTAACTAACTAACTAACTAACTAACTAACTAACTAACTAACTAACTAACTAACTACTAACTAACTAACGAACTAACTAACTAACTAACTAACTAACTAACTAACTAACTAACTACTAACTAACTAACTAACTAACTAACTACTAACTAACTAACTAACTAACTAACTAACTAACTAACTAACTAACTACTAACTAACTAACTAACTACTAACTAACTACTAACTACTAACTAACTACCTAACTAACTAACTACTAACTAACTAACTAACTAACTAACTAACTAACTCTAAACTAACTAACTAACTAACTAACTAACTAACTACTAACTAACCACTAACTAACTAACTACTAACTAACTAACTAACTACTAACTAACTAACTAACAACTAACTAACTAAGAACTAACTACAACTACTAACCTAACTAACTAACTAACTAACTTAATTGCTACTAAGAACTACTAAAATAACTAACGAATAACAGACGACAAACTAACTAACTTAAACGACAACTTAACTAACTAACTTATCTAACCTAACGTAACACTAAATAACTAACAATAACTATTTAACTAATTAATTGTTTTGTTATTCCAAATTAGATAAATTTGTCTTGGTTATTTTCCCGGGGATGAAAAAATTTAAAAATATTTTGTGGTACTTTTTTGAAAATTTTCTATAATATTGAACTGATATATGAAATAAGCAAAAGGGGATTGTTTGGTACTTTTTCGTTTCTTTAAAAAGAACTTTTTTAAATTAAAACATTAAACATTTAGAACCCTGAGTAAAAGAAATCTTTAGGAGTGTATTGTTGGTACTTTTTCGTTCTTCAACTAGTTCTAGAAACATATAATCAAACATATGTATATCCTGAAGGATATCCTGAATTTATAAGAATGAATTTTTGGATATTTTTTATTCTTTAATTGGTACTTTTTGTATCTTTTATAATAATGAACATAAAAAAACGCAAAATTAAATCAATGAATGAATAAATGAATTAAATTATGCAAAAATCACACATATAGGATCCTGATGGAATGAAAATTGGTACTTTTTTTAAATCATTTTTAATATTAAACCTAGACACATAGAATTGATTGAATGAAAATCTATAAAAGGGGACTTTCTGGTACTTTTTCATTTTCAACTGGTATTTTTTAATAAAATAAGTACTAAATGTTGTTTTATTAAACACATTATGGTGGAGAGCATATAAGATTCGGTACAGCCGAATATACAGCTCTTTTTGTTTTCCTAGTTCAAACTAAATTTGATAACAGTTACTCAAATAGACCACAAATCAAAAATTAACATATATTTTTTTTTAAATTTACCATAGTGCTCTTAATCAAATTTCCCGTACTGTTAAATTTACAATTCAACATAAAATAAACATAAATTTTTTCACACTAAAATTAACATAAATATAAATGTTTATTATTTCTTTTACTTTATTTATGAAACTTAAAATCTCTTCTAACTGCAAAACAAAAAATATAAAAATTTAATGATAAATAATACCAAAATTTTATTTTCTACTTTTAGGCACCTTAAACACGGAACAAAGCATAAGCTTTACAACAGTCATAATTATTTATATATTTTTTTGAACAATTATAAAGTAAAAACTAAAACAATACAGAGACATGGTGGAAATTATGACAACAGACACGTTAAATGTGAAAATTGTGATAAGAAAACCAGGAAATTAGAGGAAAAAGTAAAACAGCAGGAAAACAACTTAAGTAAATTGATGTTGTTGGAAGGTGTGTGCATGTATTTGACTCGATATAAAAGTATAAATTAAAGTGGGAGTGTAAATGAACAGGTGTAATTTTAATGGAAATTGTTTAAATGCCTGTAAAAGCAATTAAAGGAAAAAATGTCTTGTTGCTGTTACCGCTGGAGAAGCTCGTTTAAATTAAATTTAATTTAATATTTAAAACAAACTGATAAAATAATATCAAGGAAATAAAAGGAAAGAGGGAGCGTAGCGTATGAAAATATTATATGACTCTTAAACTTAAAACTTTTTTGCCACAAGATAAAAAAATACACATTAATTTTCTTTAGTTATGCTTAAAGAATGTTTTACTCCAAGGATTATTAAGGACATTTACTGAACATAAAAAAAGCTTAAATAAAGAGTGTGTTAAAACGAAATAACAGCAAATTTTCCAGAAAATTTATCTTTAATCATTTTTCAGCAACAACAAAAAAACACACACAAAATGATAGCAACAGTAGAATAAATTTATAAAAACCAAAGAAAAAAACAACAAGCTGTTGTAAATGACATTGAAAAATCTACTAGCAAGTAAAAGGAGTAGATGTTTTAAGTAAAAAATATATAAAGAATAAATGTTGTACATTTATTTTAAAACAAAATAAAATATTTTACAAAAAAAAAACTTTGTCAACATCCCAACACAATAAAACAAACCAAACGACAGAGAAGGAAAAAAACCAACAGCTGAAAAACGTCATTTATATATTTGCAATATCATAATCTGCTGCATCAACTGTCTCTGCAGCTCAACATAACTAACGCACATTTGCAAAAAAAAATAAAATAAAAATATACACAATTTTTTAAATTAATTGTTAAAACCATAACGTCACTACTGAAAGCTTATAACAGACAGTGATTTATTTGTTAAATAGTTATCAACAGCAAAACTAAAGTTAAGGGAATAAAAACAATAAAATTTTAAACAAACTTTATTCCACATCAAACAAAGTTGTCAGTTTGACGTCAACAAAAAAAACACGAATTTACCAGCACATTAATTTCTTCGAGTGTAATTTCTTAAAGTTTCATAATGCGCGGCCGTCATTTACGTCGACGTTTCAGTTTACAACCATCTTTTATGAAGGATGACAATGCTGAGGATAAACCCACCAAACGTGACAAGTAAGTTTAAGATTTATCTTTAAAGTTTTTAATTTTCCTTTTTATGGGATTTCTTTCACTTTATTTTCTTATTTATGTAATTAAATTTGATCGACTCTGACAAAATAATGGAAAACTTTAATGTAATGTGTAGACAGTGTCTCTTTCTGTCAAGACAGAAATGTGTCTCTTTTTATACAGAAATATTTAATATTTTATCAATGTATATCTCTTTCTGTCAAGACAGAAATCCGTCTCTTTCTGTTAAAACAGAAATATGTATCTTTCTGTCAAGACAGAAAAGTATCTCTTTCTGTCAAGACAGAAAAATGTTTCTTTCAGTCAAGACAAAAAAATTTATCTTCAGTCAAGAAAAGTACTGTCTGTTTCTGTCAAGACATTATAATTTCTCTGTCTGTCAAGGCAGAAAAATATCTCTTAATGTCAAGACAGATAATTGCCTCTGCCTGAGACAGAATAATGCCTCTTTATGTCAAGACAGAAAACTGTCTCTGTCTATCAAGATAGAAAAATGTCTCTATCTGCCAAGATAGAAAAATGTCTCTTTCTGTTTAAATACTAATATGTATCTCGAAAGAAAAGACAGAAAACTGTCTCTATCTGTCAAAACAGAATAATGTCTGTTTATGTCAAGACAAAAAACTGTCTCTGTCTATCAAGATAGACAAATTAATTTTTCTTTTTCTATTAAAACACTAAATTGTATCTCGAAAGAAAAACGTATCCTACTATCTAGAGTGAAAACTGACATTTTTCAAGACAGAAAACTGTCTCTGTCTGTCAAGATAGAAAAATGTCAAGACAGTAGACAGTCTCTCTTTCTGTCAAGACAGAAAATTGTATCTTTTTATACAGAAATATTTAATTTTCTATCAAAAATGTCTCTTTCTGTCAAGACAGAAAACTGTCTCTGTCTGTTAAAACAGAAATATGTATCTTTCTATCAAGACAGAAAAATATCTCTTTCTATCAAGGCAGAAAAATGTTTCTTTCAGTCAATACAAAAAAACTGTATCTTCAGTCAAGAAAAGTACTGTCTGTTTCTGTCATGACAGAATAATTTTTCTGGGTGTCAAGACAAAAAAATATATCTTAATGTCAAGACAGCCTGAGACAGAATAATGTCTCTTTATGTCAAGACAGAAAATTGTGTCTGTCTATCAAGATAGAAAAAAGTCTTTTTCTTTTTTTATGTAAACACTAAAATGTATCTGGAGAGAAAAACATTTTTTTTAGACAGAAAACTGTCTGATAGAAAATAGGCCGAAAATTTTCTCTTTCTGTTAAAACACTAAAATGTATCACGAAAGAAAAACGTCTCTCTGTCTAGAGAGAAAACTCTCCCTTTTAGTCAAGATAGAAAAATGTCTTTTCATGTCAAGACAGAAAATTGTCTCCTATTGTTAAAACACTAAAATGTATCTCGACAGAAGAACGTCTATTTCTGTCTAGACAGAAAATTGTATCTTTCTGTCAAGACAGGAAAATTTATCTCTCCGTCTTGATAGATAAATGTCTCTTTCTGACTAGACAGATAATGCTAGAAAGACAAAAAATTATCTCTTACTGTAAAGTCAAAAAACTGTCTAGAAATTGATCTGAACAGAAAAATGTCTCTTTCTGTTAAGACACTAAAATGAATTTCGCAGTCCCGACAGAAAATTGTGTCTTTCTGTGTAGACAGATAAATGTTTCTTTCTGTCATGACAGATGCACTTTCTGGCATAATAGAAAAATTACTCATTCTGTTTAGACACTAAAATGTATTACTCTATCTTGGACTAAAATGTGTTTTTCTATCAGAACAGAAAAATATCTCTTTTTGTCAAGATGTCTCGTTTTATTGTTCTGTCACCTAACAAGAAACAATTCTATGTCTAGGGAAATGAAAAAAGAATCCTATAAGAAGAGATTTGTCTACACAGAGAAATCCTCTGTGTAGACACAGTCAGAGAAACTCTTTTTATCAAAACACATGTATCAAAATGTCTCCTATGAAGATAAATTTTATCAAGATATGAATCATGTTTTCATATCAAGACAGAAAAATTACTTTTGTTAGTTGAAGATTTAAGAAAAATTTCTTCTCCTGAAAATACATAGAAAATATGTGAAAATAAAATAACTCACTTTTTATTACCTACCCCCCACACCCTTTTGCAAATATAAAAATGTAATATCGTTAATTTAAAGCTACATAGTAAGTAACTATAAAATAGTTACTATTAATCACAAAATATCTTGTTTATGACAATTTAAGTGTTCTCATAAATTTTGTAAAATTTTTTATAACTAAAAAATTTGCATAATATAACTTCAAAGCTAGAAAAAACAAACATTTCCTTAAGATATATATGACAATTTATCCTACTCGGATGTTTATACCCTTTTTTAACTACAGCAACTCATAGTAAATCCCTGACAGCCAGTTTCTCTTCTATTTTGGCCTGACAGTTACAACAAAACTTTTATGATTTCAACAAATACAAGTTTGTTTTTGCAAGGAAATCTGTGACAGTTACAAAATCATTAAACATTCAAATGACTATGAAAATTATTAAAAATAAACATAAAAAAACAAATCATTATCATAGAACAAAAACATCTCAAGTTAAGATTTTATCTTATGTTTGTAATTATTCTGAGAAATGTTTAAATAATGTAAAGAAACATGAACTAAATAAAAACGATGAAATAAATTTAGAATAAAATACAAAAAAAAAAAACTAAATAATGAAGATAATGGACATTGGATTAATGAAAGAAACAGTTGTAATTGTAATGAAATGATTTATGCAAGAAAGAAACACAAGTCCCGGTTTCATATTGCCATGGAATGTACAGATAAATGATGATGTAAAAAGACAATCAAATTGAAGTGTTATAATTAAAACACGATAAATTGTCAAGGAAATTTATTGTGAGAAAAATAAGAAGGTTTTCCTTTATAATAATGATGATGATGATGGTGGGAAAGGAAATTGAAGTATAAATAAGTAATCATGTCACTGTCGCTATTATGCTGATGAATTAAAATAAATAAAGGATTTACAGGAGTGTGAATATCATGCAGTATAAAATTTTTATAGCTAAAAATAAACAGGCCATGAAAAGTTAAAATGTTTAGATAGACATTTTTCTGTCTATACAGGGATATCTTTCTTTTAAGACAAAAATAGACATTTTTCTGTCTATAATAATGTCTAACAAAGAAATGTCCCTTTTTTTATTTGGAAACAAGACTAGACTGCAGTGAACATTTCCGCATCTTGACTAAAAACTACTTATTTCTGTCTTGACTGCAAGACACATCTCTTTATCTAGAGTGAAGGAAACATATTTCTGTCTAGACGAAAGAGACATCTTTCTATCTAGACTGAAAGAGACATCTCTGCGTCTAGCCTGAAATAAACATTTTTCTGGAAGAGACACTTTCTATCTAGACAGAAATAGACATCATTCTATCTAGACAGAAATAGACATCATTCTGTCTAGACTGAAGGAAATATCTTTCTGTCTAGACTGAAAGAGACACCTTTATGTCTAGACGGAAGAGACATCTCTCTGTCTAGACTGAAAGAGACATCTCTTTGACTAGACTGAAAGAGACATCTTTGTATTTAGACTGAAGGAAACATATGAATTTCTGTCTAGACTGAAAGTGATATCAATCTGTGTAGACTGAAAGAAATATATTTCTGTCTAGACTGAAAGAGACACTTTTATGTCTAGACGAATGAAACATCTCTATGTCTAGACTGAAAGAGACATCTTTGTATCTAGACTGAAGGAAACATATGTATTTCTGTCTAGACTGAAAGTAATATCTTTCTATATAGACTGAAAGAGACACTTTTATGTCTAGACGAAAGAGACATCTCTCTGCCTAGACTGAAAGAGACATCTCTCTGTCTAGACTGAAAGAGATATCTTTGGAAACATATATATTTCTGTCTAGACTGAAAGTGACATCATTCTGTCTAGACTGAAAGAAATATCTTTCATTTCTGTGTGTAGACTGAAAGAGACTTCTTTGTATCTAGACTGAAGGAAACATATGTATTTCAGTCTAGACTGAAAGTGACATCAATTTGTCTAGACTGAGAGAAATATCTTTCTGTGTAAACTGAATGATACATCTTTTTGTCTAGACTGAAAGAAATATCGTTCTATCTGGACTGAAGGAAACATATTGCTGTCTATACTGAAATAAAAAATTTTCTGAGGAAAACATCTTTCTGTCTAGACTGTGTGTCTATGTATCTAGACTGAAGCAAACATATTTCTGTCTAGACTGAAAGATATATCGTTTTATATATAGACATAAAGAGACATTTTTGTATCTAGACAGAATTAGAAATTTTTGTGTCTAAACAAAAAGAGACATTTTCTGTTCAGACGAAATGAGTGATTTTTCTGTGTAGACAAAAAGATATACATTTTTGGTTCTGAACAGAAAAAGAAATTTTTTCAGTCTAGACAGACACAAAAATTTCTCTTTTTGTGTCTAGAAAGAAATAAACACTTTTATGTCTAAACAGAGAGAAAATTTCTTTGTCTATACAGAAAGAGATATTTTTCTGTTAAGACAGAAATAGAAATGTTAGTGTCTAGACAGAAAGAAACATTTTCTTTCAAAACTGAAATAGACATTTTCTCTTTAGATGAAAATATTGTTTTTTTCTGTGTAGACAAAAAGAAAGACAGTTTTGTGTCTAGACAAAAAGAAAAATTTTTGTGTTAAGACAGAAATTTGTGTCTAGATTGAAAGAGACATATTTGTGTCTAGGGAGAAAAGACATTTTTGTAACGAGATAGAAAAATAAATTTTTTGTCAGATGGAAAGAATGATTACTCTGTGTAGACAGAAAATGAGACATTTTTGTGTCTAGACAGAAAGAGAACTTTTTGTTTAGACAGAAACAGAAATTTTTTGTTTAGACAGACATAGCAAAACCTTTTTTATCAAGACATATATACACATTTTTCTGACTAGACAGTAAAATATATTTTTTATCTAAAACGGAAAAGAAGCTTTTAAACTTAGACTAAGAGAACATTTTCCGATTAAGAAGAAGTTTTGTCAAACATTTCATTTTTTTAATGTTTACTTTTAATTTACTTCATAAAATTTTTTCACGCACTTCATTTCCACAAAAAAAATATGTTCAAAGTCCATTATAAAATGCTATTTGCAATCATAATAAAAATTGTTTTCATTTAAAAAATATTTATTTACTCAATGTTTTATAGGGGAAAAAATAACATAAATTTACATAATTTGTTCACAGCAAATAAGGGTTAAAGGCATATTTGCATATTTAACAAAACAAATACTCCATCGAGTTGTAAAATACAAAAATTGTGCCACAAATACGTTTGAAAAACCGTAGAACAATTAACAATTCTATAGAGTTTAATTTAAATACTGATTTCTTCTTTTTTTTTTTTTTTTTGACTATAATTTCAATTACCATGTGACCTTTTTCCCAATACCTATTTATGTAACTGTCTTTAAATGAATAGCAAAAATAGAATCTCAAAACACGCAAAAACCAGAACAATTTATTTAATAGAAAACAAAACTAATTAAATAAAAATAGAAGCAAGATGAAACACTTAACAATTTTTTTTTTTATATTTAAGATGAAAAACAACTCAAATAACTTATTTTTAGAAATAAGAACCACACAGGATTAAAAAGGAAACATGACTAAGAAAAATTACTTTTCTCTCAAATTCAATTTAAAACATGAGTACTAAACAATTAAACAGCAAAATAAATTAGATTTTTTTCCATGTTGACTTTTCGTTTGCGAAGGAAAAAAGAAGTCATATAGATTTGTTTAAAATGGAAAGGGAAATGAAAAACCAAAAATTGAAGATTTTTTAAAGAGTTTGTATTTATTTACACTAGTTTGAGTTAAAGGAGACATTTTTTAGATAGAGAGATCAATTTTTGCTATGTAGACAGACAGCAGACATTTTTATGTCTAGACAGAAAGTGAAATTTTTATGTCAAGACAAAAAAAGACATTTTTCTGTCAATATAGAGAGAGAGAGAGAAATTTTTCTGTTAATACAGATATAGAAAGGGATCTGTCAAGACAAAAAGTGATACTTTTTTGTTAAGACATGAAAGGAATTTTTTTCTGTGAAAGAGATATTTTGCTGTCCAAAGAAAAAGTGACATAAATTTATCTGTCTAGATAGTAAAAGCCATTTTCTTGTTAAGACAGGGACATAAATTTTTCTGTCAAGGCAGTTAAAGGAGACATTTTTTAGATAGAAAGAGAAATTTTTGCTATACAAAAAGAAAGTGAAATTTGTGCGTCCAGACGAAAGCAGAAATTTTTATGTCTAGACAGAAAGTAAACTTTTTATGTCAAGATATAAAGAGACATTTTTCTGTCAAAATAGAGAGAGAAATTTTTCTGTTAAAACAGATATAGAAATGGTTCTGTCAAGACAGAAAGTGATACTTTTTGTTAAGACATGAATGGAATTTTTTCTGTAAAAAAGATATTTTGCTGTTCAAAGAAAAAGTTACATAAATTTATCTGTCTAGATAGTAAAAGACATTTTCTTGTTAAGACAGAAGCAGAAATTTTTCTGTCAAGACAGAAAGAGATATTTTTCTGTCTTAACATAAGGAGACATTTATCTGTCCGGACAGAAAGAGAATATTCTGATTAGAAAGAAACACAAAAGTTTGTGTCTAAATAGAAGGAGAAATTTTTATTTCTAAACTGAAAGAGCATCTATCACGGGAAGAGTTATCTTTCTGACTGAAAGACTGAAGAAGACGTCAGAAAGAGATTATTCTGCACAGAAAAGTACCGTCTAGATAGAAAGAGAAATTTTTATGTCTAAACTGAAAGAGACATCTTTCTCTCTAGATTGAAGGAGAAATCATTGTGCCCTTTCAGAAGAAAACAGTATTCTGTCTAGACTAAAAGTAACATAATTTTGTCCAGACTGAGGGGTTATACTTCTGACTGAAAGGATGAAGAAGACATCATCATGTTTACACTGAAAGAGATATCATTATGTCTAGACAGAATAGGACATATTTTTGTCAAGATTAGAAAGTGATTATTCTGCATAGAAAGAAACCGTCTAGAAAGAAAGAGAAATTTTTATGTCTAAACTGAAAGAGACATCATTCTCTCTAGATTGAAGGAGAAATCATTTTGTCCTTTCAAAAGAAGACAGCATTCTGTCTAGACTAAAAGTAACATCATTTTGTCTAGACTGAGGGGTAATACATACTTCTGAATGAAAGGATGAAGAAGACATCATCATGTTTAGACTGAAAGAGATATCTTTATGTTTAGACAGAATGGGACATATTTTTGTCAAGATGATATGTCCAGATTGAAGCATTATCATCTTGTTCTATCGGAAAATGTCTTAGCAATAAAATTCACATCTTTGTTGTCTAAAATTTCTTCTCAATAAGCAACATTTAGCTGTTAAAAAACTGTTCTGATCAATTTCAATATTTTAATTCTAAAAATTTATTTTTAATTTTAAACTATGTCATGCATCCTTTAGAACAAAATCTAAACCATACATTTAATACAAAATGTGTTTCATATTAAAATAAAATTATAATTGAATTTATTAGAAAAGCAACACCACAGCAAGCGCACTTACATAAACACATACAAAAATACAAACTGCGACATGTATACATACAAGCATACACTTGCAACTAAAAGTACCACAAAGTAAATTTAATTGAAAAAGTTAATGCAACCTAAAACTCAACTAAACTCTTTGCAGCTCAACAGTAACGACAACAACAGAAATAATAACCCCAACCTGATTATATACTTATTTTTTTCTGTTCAGTTGGCAGTCGTTTTTTTATCTTTTTTTGTTATACAAATATTGGTTTTATTAAATTACATCCCCATCATCTAACCAGCAAGCAGCATCATCTGTTTGTCTACAATACATTGTTTTCATTTCAACTTGTAACCGTGTGTTTTTGTTTTTTCACTTCTTCCAGAGTTGGCCGCAATAATGCTGTTGATGATGCAATTGGTCCCACAAATGCACGTCACAAAATTGTTGTCATGGGTGCTGCTAAAGTTGGTAAAACCTCAATAATTACACAATTTCTATACAATACGTTTACAACAAAATACAAAAGAACCATTGAGGAGATGCATCAGGGTAACTTTTCAATAGCGGGTGTTAATCTAACCTTGGATATATTGGATACAGCTGGTTCATATGAGGTAAGTGGAAACACTCCACCAACAAGTGGAAATGAATGTTGCAACACCAAACGTACGAACGTAACTACGGCTGCCAATATAATGTTGTATGTCTGTAGTTGTAAGTTGCATTTAGAAATTGTGCTGAAGTGACAAACACAAAACGTAAGCGAAAAGAAAAATTGGCTTAAAGGAAAAAGTTAAGTTGCTGTTGCGTTGTCATTGCGCAAGAAAGTGTTATATAAATGTTGTGACAGTTTCTTTTGAATCCCTTTAAATTTTTTCATTTTCCCTTTATGTTATATATTTTATTCTCGTATTTATTTGTGCAGTAAAATGTTCAATTTCTAAATGTTATTAAAAGAAATAAGTGGATTTATATGACTGTCATTGGTTTAGTTGAATACAATATTGAATTTTTAGTTTGTATAAGTGTTTTTTTTTTGCAGATTTTCATTATTCAATTACGTTTATCAAGAAATAAAAATGATTTACTTTTTTAAATGAAATAGATTCAAAAGAATTCAATGGTACTTAAGTCCTTTTTTTTTTAATAAAACTGATATAATTTTGAATATCAATAGACATTCGCTTATTTATAAATGAATTTTCCAAACAACAAACATTTCTCTGTCAAAAGAAAATTGTACACAGTCAAGTCCATAGTCTAGTCTATAGTCTAGTCTATAGTCTAGTCTATAGTCTAGTCTATAGTCTAGTCTATAGTCTAGTCTATAGTCTAGTCTATAGTCTAGTCTATAGTCTAGTCTATAGTCTAGTCTATAGTCTAGTCTATAGTCTAGTCTATAGTCTAGTCTATAGTCTAGTCTATAGTCTAGTCTATAGTCTAGTCTATAGTCTAGTCTATAGTCTAGTCTATAGTCTAGTCTATAGTCTAGTCTATAGTCTAGTCTATAGTCTAGTCTATAGTCTAGTCTATAGTCTAGTCTATAGTCTAGTCTATAGTCTAGTCTATAGTCTAGTCTATAGTCTAGTCTATAGTCTAGTCTATAGTCTAGTCTATAGTCTAGTCTATAGTCTAGTCTATAGTCTAGTCTATAGTCTAGTCTATAGTCTAGTCTATAGTCTAGTCTATAGTCTAGTCTATAGTCTAGTCTATAGTCTAGTCTATAGTCTAGTCTATAGTCTAGTCTATAGTCTAGTCTATAGTCTAGTCTATAGTCTAGTCTATAGTCTAGTCTATAGTCTAGTAGTCTAGTCTATAGTCTAGTCTATAGTCTAGTCTATAGTCTAGTCTATAGTCTAGTCTATAGTCTAGTCTATAGTCTAGTCTATAGTCTAGTCTATAGTCTAAGTCTATAGTCTAGTCTATAGTCTAGTCTAATAGTCTAGTCTATAGTCTAGTCTATAGTCTAGTCTATAGTCTAGTCTATAGTCTAGTCTATAGTCTAGTCTATAGTCTAGTCTATAGTCTAGTCTATAGTCTAGTCTATAGTCTAGTCTATAGTCTAGTCTATAGTCTAGTCTATAGTCTAGTCTATAGTCTAGTCTATAGTCTAGTCTATAGTCTAGTCTATAGTCTAGTCTATAGTCTAGTCTATAGTCTAGTCTATAGTCTAGTCTAGTCTATAGTCTAGTCTATAGTCTAGTCTATAGTCTAGTCATAGTCTAGTCTATAGTCTAGTCTATAGTCTAGTCTATAGTCAGTCTATAGTCTAGTCTAGTCTCGTCTATAGTCTAGTCTATAGTCTAGTCTATAGTCTAGTCTATAGTCTAGTCTATAGTCTATAGTCTAGTCATTAGTCTATTCTATAGTCTAGTCTATAGTCTAGTCTATAGTATATAGTCTAGTCATTAGTCTATTCTATAGTCTAGTCTATAGTCTAGTCTATAGTCTAGTCTATAGTCTAGTCTATAGTCTAGTCTATAGTCTAGTCTATAGTCTAGTCATTAGTCTATTCTATAGTCTAGTCTTTAGTCTATTCTATAGTCTAGTCTATAGTCTAGTCTATAGTCTAGTCTATAGTCTAGTCTATAGTCTAGTCATAGTCTAGTCTATAGTTTAGTGTATAGTCTATTCTATAGTCTAGTCTATAGTCTAGTCTCCAGTTTTAAAGTCTAATTTATGATATATTCTATAGTCTGGTCTGTTTCCTATAGTCTAGTCTATAGTACATTCTGTAATCTGGGGCTATTGTCAAATGAGACCCTATAACTATAAACAAAATTATGAACTTAAGAGCCTTATTCGGTGGGTTCAGTTGTATGGGGGCAAGGTGAAATGATAGACCGATGTTAATCATTTTTAATAAGCTTCTTCTCCGATACCAGAAAAGATCGTGTGCCAAATTTAATTGAATTATCGTCAAAAATGCGACCTGTAGTTTGATTATCGTCAAAAATGCGACCTGTAGGTTTGCAAGCCCTATTCGGAGGTTTAGTTGTAGGCTAGGTGAAATAATGGACCGATTTCAACCGTTTTCAATAGGCTTTGGCCCTGTAAGAATAGAAGATCATGTACCAAATTTCATTGAATTATCTTCAAAATTGCGACCTGTAGTTTGATTACAAGGATTACATGGACGGACGGACAGGCGGACAGACATAGCTAAATCGACTCAAAAAATGATTCTAAGCCGATTTGTATACTTTAAGGTGGGTATAGGAGCAATATTATTGTGCGTTACAAACATCAGCACAAAAGTGGTGTAGGGTATAAATACATATTGTTAGAAAACTTAAAAAAAAAAAAAACTTGTTGATTTAGCAATGGAACAAATAACAATTTCCGTTACTTTCATTTAACAAGAAAATATTTTTAAAAGTTTTTTTTTAACTTTTCATTTTTTTTTAGTTAATAAGATTTAACAATACCTGTACTGCACTGCCATGTACCCTGAAGTAATATTAATTTACTAGAAGTTCCATTATTATCTTATTTTATTTTTCATACTTTAAACACTATTGAGTCAGCTTGTTCCGGTTTTTGAAATGAAACGGAAATTAATGTTTGCCATTCAATTTCATCGCCTTTCCTTTCCCTACAGTAAAGACATACATAGTTACTTCTATTGCAGTCTATCTGTCCAGCGGACATTTAATAATATATAGTTTTTATTCGCGAGTTTTTTTTTCAATTTCCACTATTTTTAAATGTGTGTAGAATTTCAATTAATAAATGTATAGTTTTTACATAGTGTGAAGTAGTATACAATTTTACTATAGATTTTATTAGTTTTTTTTATAAGCTCTATTAAATATTTCCACTTTGTATGTGTATGCATGTATATGCATATAAAAGGATTATGATGGGTTTAGTACTTTTATTGTTGTTTTATGTAAACGCGGTTAAATTGAATTAAATTGCTGGAGTGTTGTATTGAAAAAGAGTACATTAAATATTTTAGTTTAAATTGTACTAAATTTATTAAAAACCTATTTAATGCATAATTTCTTGGAATTTTAAGAAATTTTCTTTGACATGAGATTTTTAATATAAAATTCACAGATAAATACTTTGACATTAGTTAAAGTTTAGCAACAAAAGTTAATTTGCCATATAAAACATTAAAATGCCTGCAGTTTATATTTAACTATAGTTTCATATATAATTTATATAGTGAATTTTCAAAACACAATTTTAATACTAAATTAAAAAAGTTTTACAAAAACTGTAAATATATACTTCAACTTTGGATGCACAACAAAAAAAAAATAATAATAAAACTCTTTATTTTTTTTCAAAATAACAAAGGTACATTGTAAAATTTTAATTTAAATTCCTATATTTATTATTGTGGTTTTACAAAAACATGTTTAGTAAATTACTAACATACAAAAACTACATATTTTCTATTTCATTTGTAAATGACATATTATTTGTTGCAATATTTATTTGCAATAGTTTTTCCCCGAAAAATTGTGTTCTAAAGCACTTTTAAAAATATATTTTAATTGCTCACTTTTTTTCTGAACAATTAAAATCCTTAAAATATAAACCACAAAATCCTATCGGCTTATAAATTGAATTAGTTGTGCGATATGCACTCGACGCACTATAAATGGTAAACAGAAACAAACAAATAACTCGATTGCTTTTGCAGATAGTTTAGTTTGAAATAAATAAAAAAATGTATATTGCAAACCATTGTGTGTTGCACATATGCTAATTTGCATTCTGGTAATACTTCTACAAAATCCTGAAATTTTGCCATGGACAATGTATACCAGACTATAGACCTAATTGTAGTACCGACTACAGATAATAGTTACAATCTACAATTTACAATTACGACTATGCTATATTTAAAAATATAGACTATAGTATATATAAAGACTAGATCATAGACAAGTTATAGGGTAGAGGCTACTATATACTAGACTATAGTTCTGGCTATAGATTACTGTATAGCTATATACTATAACTAGTACAACAAGTGAATTTAAATTGCACTTAAACACAGAGAGAAGGAATAAAGAAAAATAAATAATAACATAAAACACTAACAGATTTTGAGGGGCCCACTCAAACAACTTTACATGTTAGCAAGTTAGTTGCAACAAAACTTAACACAAAAGGAAAACAATATTTTGCAAACAAAATTGTAAAGTAATCTGCTTTTAAGAGTGCAAACTTACAAAACAACACATTCCTAACTGGCGTATAAAGTTCAGGTCAAAATGATATATAGTCTATAGTCTAATCTATAGTCTAGTCTATAGTCTAGTCTATAGTCTAGTCTATAGTCTAGTCTATAGTCTAGTCTATAGTCTAGTCTATAGTCTAGTCTATAGTCTAGTCTATAGTCTAGTCTATAGTCTAGTCTATAGTCTAGTCTATAGTCTAGTCTATAGTCTAGTCTATAGTCTAGTCTATAGTCTAGTCTATAGTCTAGTCTATAGTCTAGTCTATAGTCTAGTCTATAGTCTAGTCCATAGTCTGGTCTATAGTCTAGGCTATAGTCTAGTCTATAGTCTAGTCTATAGTCTAGGCTATAGTCTAGTCTATAGTCTAGTCTATAGTCTAGTCTATATTCCTGTCTGTAGTTTAATCTATATAC